GCGTAGTATTGGATCTTATTGGCGGACTGAAAGGTCACAACGTAACAATGGATAACTTTTTCTCATCTTATGAACTTGGGCAGAAATTGCTATCAAAAGGTCTCACAATGGTTGGTACGATGCGAAAAAATAAAAGAAGCATTCCACCAAAGCTCCTTGAATGTAAAAAAGTTCCTTTGTACCAGTCAACTTTTGCATTCACGAAAGACACAACACTCGTTTCATATGTCGGACGAAAAAACAAGTGCACGATTTTGCAAAGCACAATGCATAGTTCAAATGATGTAGGATCCGGCGACAAAAAATTGCCCGAAATTATAGAATACTACAACAAAACTAAAGGTTTGTCAAATGCTACTTTTTGATGGTAATTTGATATTTTTTCACATGATCTTTGATTTCTTTTCTTTAGGTGGTGTGGATACGGTTGACAAGATGCTTTCGTGTTACAGCTGTAAGCGCAAAACAAATCGTTGGCCTATGGTCGTGTTTTCGAATATAATCGATATTTCAGCCTTGAACGCATTTGTCATTTTCAAAGAAGTGTCACCGAATTGGCAAACAACACAGAAAACTACATTACGACGCAATTTTCTACGGGAACTTGGATATTCTCTTGCGCAGCCATACATGGATATGAGAAAAGGTGTGCCACGATCTGAATCATCAGCATCGCTTCTTTCAGCGAGCCGAGAATCCCTACAATGGCGTGAAAGTTCACCAGCTATTCAGTCTTCGTCTTCCTCCATTTCTCGTGAGTCTTCGATGTCACGTGAAGGTTCACCAACTTTGCTACCATCTACATCATTCGAAATTCCTCGTAAAAGAGCAAAAAGTGTTCCATCGGTGTCGAAAGGCAGATCAAGATGTCACATGTGCTATACTGAGAAATCCGCCAATAGAAATAATATGCATGAAACTATCTGTTGTTTTTGTACTAAAGGTGTTTGCAAAAGCACCCATAATCGAAATGTGTGCGTGAAATGTATTGTAGAACGCCTACTTTAAAAACAAATCACTTTTAATGTAATGATTTTTGAAAAAAATCAAGTAAAATCAAAAATATCTTCAAAAAATCTGTCAAAATATGTGTTTTCCATACAAATTCCATATGCGTAGAAATCCACGCACAAGGGTAAAATTTGTAATTTTTTTTGAAGGGCATATGAAGGTTAATAACAAAGACTGAACGGCAACCCCATTCCCCCTCATTCACGCTTCGGAAAACATGTCAAAAATGTCGAAAAGCCGAAAAATAGTTTTGCACCTTTTAAAATCATCATCCGGAAGCATATTAAAACTATGTCAGTTTTCAAAGTTGTCGAGTGTTATGACGAGACCAAGAAAAGCACTCAAAACCCGAATTGATTAAATGCAAATTAATGCTGCAATGTAAAACTTTCTCCGTGATTCGTATTCAAATGTAGAATTTTGACAACAGACTCTGCAATGCACTGAACACAAAATGTTCATTACTTAAACTACGGGGCATATACATTGTCATTTGGTTATGTTTGCCATTCCAAATTACAAGCAAATATCATTCAAAATAACATCCGCAACGATGTAAAATGACGTCGTCGAATCAGACTCAATTCGATTTTGAAATAATATTTTGCACAGGCTCGGCCCGAATTCAGAAATTTGATCCGATTTTATAATACGGGATGATGGGCGACAATTCAGTTCGTAATGGTTCTATCTCCACAATTAATAGATTTTCGGTTTGGTATTTGCCTAAAGCGTTTTATTCGGAACAAGATTTGTTTTAAATTATTATTTTTGATCATTTTCATCTATATAAAATTGAAATATTAAATATGCATACAAACAAACAAGCTCGCGTTCAAATGAGTACATATACCACTCATTCCGATTTTGCTGTAGGATTTCCACATCGATTAATAAATTTTTCAATTAACTTCCGTAGATTGTGTGCAATTAAAAAAAAAACCATCGATTTAATCTTTTCGATTGAGTAAATAATTAACCCACGAATTTTTTTCATTGATAAATCACCTAAACGAACATTTTTGACTTGAATTATGGTTATTTTTATCGATGTAAAAAACGCCCAATATGGATCCAGTGTGTATGAAACAAGCTGAATTTAAATCGTTTCTCATTCCAGCTGATTTCAATATGCGGTTTAGACGGGCGACTTAACATAGCACATGATGACATATGGACAATGCATAATTTTCCATGTTTTTCTTTCATAGCCGCTGTATAATTGCGAGCGTTATCAAGAAAATGTGGGGAAAATGTTGTGAATGAGAGCGAAAAAAACACACATAATATAAATGCTAATGTAAAGAAGTTAAGTGAGAACAGTGAAAACGGAATGAAAAAAAAGCGCACAAAGATTTAATGAAATGAGGAATTAATGTACCATTTTTGCGTTGTGTAAAGCAAAATAATGCGTGGCACCAACGCTCATTCTCTTCTCTCTCTTTCCTATTCGTTTCTATCAATTTCACCAGGAAAACAAAACATTCGGACGATGCGAACACGAATCGTATTTTTTTTTTCGCATTTTTTTTCCGTGTTGAATGTTTAATTAGAAAATCATCGGTCTTGTCGTGGTGTTGAATTGTTTACGAAGGTATGGAAAGTCGGATGGTCCCGAATGGCTGCTATTTTGGGTGATTCATGCTCTTTTTTTGTGTGTCGTGCATGTGGATTGTTGTTAGTTGAATTGTTGTAACAAAAAAAGCCCGAAGAGAAAAAAAATCGTAACTCTAGAAAAATGCTTTCATTCTCTGATCTACATTTCGGGTGCATAAACTTCACCAAAAGCATTTTTTCCACAGATTTTTTTCACATTTTGATTCCACATCGACGCGACTGAGGTACGCGGTACGCTGCTCATGGTAGATGTGAAAATAATTACATGGTTTTTCGTTTTTCTTCTTCTTCGTGTACATAATTATTATGTATGTGTGTGTGTGTGTGTGGGACTTTTTTTCGTCTTCTCTCTGACACATTGCACATTGGGTAGTGATGGCAGAGTTTTTGTAGCGTGTGCAGATTATAGTTGTTGAACATTTAATTTGGATTCCATTATATATGGACTGTTGGTGGGAAGGAACGAGAGCAAGAGAAAGAGGAAGAAATGGAGAGAGAAAAAATGAACACAACGAGAGAACGGCGTAAAATAGAAAGGAAACAAAATCCATAAAATAGTTTTCGTCGCTTCGTGTGTTTTTCTTTGGCAGAGAACTTCTGTCGTTGTCGCTGCCCTTTTTTTTAAATTGTTTTTTCGACGTGTTTTTTTCGGTTAGCGTTTATATTTTTCAACATTTTTGTTTCAGTTTCCGATTGCTTGCTCTTTATTACGGACTTTGGTTGCTTAAAATACATTTTCGATTTGAATTTGTTGGTGTTTTGCATGAATAAAATTTAATATTCACTTTTTTTGTGCGAAATAAAATATTTTGAAAAACATTGAATTTGAAGAGTTGATGAAACTACAAGAAAAAGATGGAGGGAGGCAAAGAAAAGAAGCGGATAGAAACAGTATAAAAAAATTGTAAGTTAGAGAAAGCGAAAAAAAGCGCGTCAAATGAATGAAGGATAAAACATCACCACTTTTCGAAACATTGTCAAGAAATGTGTTTTGAAGCATTATTAAAATTCGAAAGCTTTTGGCGATAAGAACAGTTTTGGTTACTGTATCGCGCAACGTAAATGTACTAAACATGAGGAATTGTCGGTTTTTTCATGTTTATTTCACATGCCAGTGATTTGGATATATATATTCGGCTTTCGAGTGTTGGTGTTGCAAGTGTGAGCATGGCCATGGTCGTGCTTTATGATTAGTTTTATTCCAACACTCACTGAATGCAACTAACATGTTTCTTTCATTTTCGTCTTTTCCGTTTTGACTTTCTTCAGTTTCGCATGCCATATTCCATTTAGTCGATGTCATCGTCGTCTCTTTTTCACACACTCACACCCTTCATATATTTATTTTATTGCATTTTAGAGAGTTTTCGTGCTTTTAATATTCAGCAAATGTCATCGTTGTCGCTTTTGGTTATGCTTTTGACATAGTTTCTTGGTCCTCTTCGGTTGCAAGTGCTCTCTTACATTTGGTGCTCGTTATTAAATTTCTTTGTAAGAATAAGAGCGCTTGTGCGCAAGTATTTGTTGCAAAAGTTTTGTCGACACTGTCCAGTTTAAACAATATATCTCTATATCTATATTGTGCTAAACTTTGACCATTGCTTGATCCATTTAACATATTAATATGCACTTCTCTGGCATTTATTTTATTCGCAATTGCGTTGAGATGCTGCACAATGTTCAGTCAGGAGTATTAGTCCAGTTAAATCAACATTTGCAGTCAACTCTTAATATAAGACTTTTTGTGTACCTTTTCACCCTTTTTTCCCCACCGAAAATGCAAGAAATGAACGAAAATGTAAGAAATGTACACAATAACGGTAGAATTTCCAGTTGCCAGACATACAATGCCTCATCGTCAACACATTCATCATGTAAAAAACGTGGAAAACAGCGAGTGAGCGAGTGAGAGAAAGTGAGACGGGGCAAAAAGCACACCGACTCTCAAGCTGAATCTAAGTTGTTTTTTTTTCTTTCGTTATTTCCCGTCGAAACAAAATAAAAGTGAGATTTGTTTGAAAGTTATTCCATGTTCTTTTGCTACTTAAGACATCCGAGACAATAACTGCACTAAGTGCGAAAAGGAATAAAATTTTTGTGAAAAAAAATAGAAATAAATAGTGAAAGAAAGCAAAAATCACAATTGAAGCTGACTGTTAAGCATCAATTTTGAAAGTTTATTTTCTGTGTATCTGTCCCGTTTCATTCCCGCTTGTGAGAAATGCATACAAATATAGATTGTAGCTATGCAAATGATGACAAACTAAACTCTTAAATGAGAGATATTTATATTTTCAATGTAGTACCGACTGAAATATACTGATATAAAGTATTTACGAATCTCAAATCTGTTTCTTTTTCTTCCATTTCAGAATATTAAACGTCACGATCAAGGCATTTATCGATGTCGTGTGGATTTCCGAACCAGCCAGACACAGAGTTTCCGCTACAATTTAACCATTATAAGTGAGTACATTCAAAATGGATTACGTTAGGTCAAATGTGTATATTGGTGCAAGTGCTTACTGGGAGAAAGTGAGCGGCAACAACAACGACACCGAAAAATTAATTCATCACCAATCGGATTTTGTTTTTGATGAGTTTCACAAACAAGGGTAGATTCTTGGGGCCACTTAAAACAATTTCATGTCAGTTTGAGATTATGAAATCGCTTGGAGGCAAGCAAAATCATCAATAATTTCCGCTTTTCTCGCTCAGATCAATTTCCGGCGTCATCGTGTGTGTTAACTTTGTTAAACACGAAGTAGAAGAGAAATAAAAGAGACAAGCAAAAAGTGGATAAAAAAACAATAAAAACAATATTTATTAGATTATAAGCTATTTTGAGAGAGGTCAAGTACTAAAAAGCTCAGAAGGCTTCAGCGAAAATCAATCAATTTCCTATTTCCTTTGAAGAAATATAAAAAATGAAGTGGAAATCTATTGACGTAGTCGATAAAGTCGATTCGATATTAATTTTATTCAATAAGAGTACGTAACCGATACTAAATCGTTCAAAGTGTTTGCGGTCAATTATTCAATATATTTTGGTAGAACTGTTTCAATAAAAGCCAAAATATGTTGAAAATTCAATTGAATACTATGCCTTGATACAAACGCACACAAACACATAGACAAACAATATACATATACATGATTCGATTAAATGAGAAGAAAATGACCGAGCACAGGCCAAAGTTAATAATAGCCATTTTGACTTTTCGTATTGACATTTGAAGCACTTCCGGCATTCTTATACGGAATAGACACTCGCATATATGAAATGCGTGGGACCAAAAATTAATTTTCCGTAAATATCATAGTTTTAATCTTCTTAAGTCCCAACTGACGAAGCAACCGTTCATATGAAACAGCACACAATCTCCATTCTATCTCTTACACTTGTTAGTTTCATGTTCTTCAAATTGTGAGTGAAACGGTTTCTGTTTCTTTCGAAAATCTTCAACATTTTCTTCCGCGTGCTTAGGCTACTTTAACTAATACGTGTGGTGCCACTGGTTTAAGATGTTGCTGCTGATGTTGTTGTGCTGGTGCTGGTGGTGCTGCTTTTGTTGATGTCGTTGTTTAGAAATGCTTATTTCATTTTTTATCTTCGTTGCATTGAAAGACAACACAACAAACTCTGTTGTGCTGTGTGAATGGCACATCGATTAACATTCTATGCCAAAAATTGTGCAAAATGAACGAAAAGTTCTTTAAGCAGTGACATAAAGCAACGAATCATGATTGAGTACTTATATATAGAAGCGTGCACACTCTTTCGTAAAACGCCAAAAGACAAATTTTGGAACGTGTAATGAATAGTTGGTATTATTTCGCCTGTCTTCCCAAACACAACAACACCATTTTTGATTTGTGGTAGCATGCATAGTGGCAACGCTCTGCACTGACTCAACTGTCTTCTCAATATGCATACTTCATCGTATCGTTTCATTTGCGGAAAGGGGGGGGGGGGCGAACAACAAGGAAACGCGTGTGAATGGAACTTATGATACGCTTTATTACGTACGATAAATTTTCTTTTGCCATTTGTCTTTCTTGGTATATAAGTGATTTAATTTAACAAGAAATATTGCTATTAAAACTGCTGCAACACTTGAGCGCTTGGTCTTGAGAGTGTTGAGCAAATATGTGCGCTCGATCGTCGGTTCAGTTGTTGGAATTCAGTGCGTGTGTGTGTGTGTGTGGCCTGAATATCCGAGTCAATTACACATTGTGCATTCAGCATCCGCACTTTGTAACATCAGCATTGCATGTCTGAAATTTTGCTTAAATCAAATTCAAATGACATTTGAATACATTTGTGTCGAGTGGAAAGGGGTGAGAGCACACACGAATAGCATTGCATTCAACTAATATAATTCAGTTTCTAAAATTTATGTCAATATTTGCACTCTCTTGCATTCTATTATTATTCGATTTCAATAGAGAGAGAGGGAGCCCTGAATAATAATAATATTGAATAGTTTCATTCACACTTGAAAATATATAGACAAAAATAGTGTAATTGCTCGATACTTTGCATGGTAAATGGGCATAAACCGGAACAATAAAGGTGTTTCATTATACAGCAAAGGTGAAAATTAATTTTGTTTTCAATGATTTGAAGGTGGGGTAATGATGACAAAATAAACAACTTTGAATTTTGTTTTTGCTTCTAAAACATGTAATCGTGTTTTTGACGAGCGACCTTCTTTGATGCTTCAACAGAAAATAAAGTTTTTCGTTTTTGTTTCAACTATTATAACCATTGTTATTTCTGTATGCATACAGCAGCATTCTGGAAAGACTTTTCCATTGTATATCAACCTGAATAATGTTTTTGAGTTTTAAAATAACTTTTGTCTTTATCAAAATGATTTTCATCCAACACAAAATATGATGTGAAACAATTTAGTGGAAAACAGCTTCCTCTGTGCCTTCCTCTGTATGGTAAATCACTGAAATCAATGCATTTTAGCATAATCTCAATTATCAAAACTATAATTGCAATCCCATTGTTGTGCACAGCTTTTTCATTCTTTTTATTTTCAAATGTGACGTTGCAGCTGATGCTGGTCATGTCAACCAGAAAATGTTGCATGTTTGTATTGTGTTTGACAGCCAGGACATTTTAACGAAAAATGAACCAGACCAATAGACCAAAGAGAATTGTTAGAAAACTTACGGTAGAAACATATCAAATTTTAAAATAATCATCAGCATTTTGGAAAAAGAGAGAAATATAGGGGCTATCATAATCTCTTTTGAAAGGAATTTTGATTTTTTTTCGGATAATTTTTGATTTAATTGATACCTATATGTAGATCTTCTTACATTTGCTTCAATAATGCGCATAACGTCATGATTTTTGCGATAAGTCGCTAACTAGTTTTACTATATCTACGGTCATCAGAAGATTTTCAACGTATTAAATCTGCCCGTGTAAAACATTCTTCAAACTATGGAAAATACCGGACATGCCGAACGATTTTTCGTCACAGGTGGGCAGAAGAAGGGTCCATGTTTGAGGTCTTCAAAATGCAAAAATTGGGTTTTGTTGGTTAAAAACTAACAAAAAAGCACCCCAATTGCCATGAAAGGGTACCGTAATTAGCTTAGTATCTGATAGTATTAGATCCCGAAAATTCTCAATTAAAAGTTCGAGAAATGTGAAACTTCCGAAATGCCGCCCAAAAATCATATTTGAAAATAATTGAGCAGTTCGGTTGCTTGGACACACACCAAACGAACAATCCTTTTCCACGTGACAATTTTTAGGTTTGGTAAATGATGTGAACGTATTTGGGCAACTCAATTTACCATTCGAATAGATGGACAATCGAAATTATGTGTTTATTTGACTTTGGATTTATTTCATAGGCGTAATTTGGGTAAATGGTGTTTGCTCTTATTATAATTGATATTTACATACAATCGGTCTAATCGTTTGGCTTACCTCAATGCAAGCAAGTGGCATTATCAAACGGTAGTAATCGAATAGTACACATAATCATTCATTTGGTTCACCACTTTAATTTTGTTCGACTATCAATATTTATATATGTGGCTGGCACGGGCTGGCACAGCAACTCTTTTCCAAAGAGATCTAATTAAATTACGCTCTAATTAGCGATTCAATTAGTCAGTCCGTGTGTCCTTTTTTTATTGCGTTTTGGTTTTAAGACCGTGACCGCCATTCAATTTTGTATGTATAGCAGCTTGATTTGATTCGGATAAGAGAATACACATTCATGTATTACATTAATATCATTTCGACATGTTAGGATTACACTGTTTAAATAAATGTTTGATGTGTCGCTCGAAAATTAAATGGCGTTGTCATTTTGTGGCTTATGAACTCGTTAGCTTTATGAATAATTCATCGCGCATGCCGAGAGTAGGGGATATGGGTAAAGAGTTGTAAATTATAGCCTTTGATCGCACTTCAATTTTATATTACATCAAATTCGCTTTTGGATTTTTATGCACATTTTCTCTAACATTAATATTTCATGTAAAATTACAGAAATTTATTGACTCGAACATGGAAATTACACTGAATTCGATTTTATTGATTTTATTTTCGATAATATTTAAATTGATGCAATGAAAAATTTCATTAAGATTCTAATTATTTGATTTCACAATATCACATTGAAATCAGTGTGCAATATGGTGTGCCATGAATCTTGACATACAAACAAAGATTTGCTTATTGCATCAATAAATCGTGAATACACACAAAAGCCCGTTCATTGTAACTGAATTGCGATTTTTTCTAAATCTGATATCAAAATATTTATAGTATATATATATTATTTTGCGAGAATTTTTGTTCACATGAAATTATTATGTACTTTGAACATTTGCAACAAAAAATCTGAAACGAAATTGAGCCATGGAAAAATACTCTGTGGTATATAAGCGAATATAATGTGGCAATGCATTTATTAGGAACATGAAAATCAGATCTCATTTGGAGATAAACAAGAAATAATACAATGAAGAGCGGTTTTTCATACACCTCTACTAGATATGAACAGTATATTAATGTCTTCAAATCGAAATTTCTCTAATTAATAGACTTTTTAACACTTTTAATAAGATCAAATCCGAAAATTAACAATAAATTGTTATTTGGCGAGATTTTATCCGTTTTCCAGTGGTCGTTGTCGCCCCTTCGTTGGTGTCGATTCTGATGTGGTTGTGAAAAGAAGGCAGTGATGGTTTTTTCCTATCTGAATAGCGCTAGCTATTCGCAGCGTCTGAACAGCATTGCTGCCCAGATGCTGAATCGAAGCGGTTGCCGCACGCGTTTTGTACCACACAACATATTGTCATATAGTCTAAGTAACCAGTGAGCTCACAGAGTATGATACACTAATACCATAGTCAGTATAACAAACGCATGTCGAACAGAGAACGAACGCGAACGTATATGCACTGTGTGGTACAAACGAAGT